GGAATATAGAGGATAAATACCACAAAGCAACTGAGCCAAACAGCTACAAGGGCACCACCAAAGCCCAGAAATCACAGTCCCCCCTTTAAATGGATATTCACTGTGCAGAAGGAAGGGCAAGAAGTAACATTACCTGAGTTGTCGAGCAGCTGCAAGAAAGATACTATTCTTTTGTTTTGGAAGGTGATCATGAAAACAGAGATGGATTTTTTTCTTTTTAGGAAAAGTGTATTGTATAGCTCCAATTTTAATCCAGAACATAAACTTATGCATACACAAAATCCACCAGTATCCCCAGTACCAAAACATTGGGGAAATGCAGCTCATCAGCCTCCAGAGATGTCCTTTGGGATTAATGCTCCAGTGTCCTTGGGGGACACTGTAGTATAATTGTCTGAGTGTTTGGACTAGGACACTGGGAGAGCAGGGTTTGAATCCTGCTTGACCATGGAAACACACTGGGTGACCTTGGGCAAGTCACACTCCTTCAGCCTCAGAAGATGGCAATGGCAAAGCCTCTCTGAAGAAACTTGCCAAGAAAACCCTATGATATGGCTGCCATAAGTCAGAAACAACTTGAAGGCACACAACAGTGGTTACATATTAGACCATGTGTGTTCTGTCATTTTGCTTAAGGGCAGAAATGTGCAGGTCATGTGTAGCAGGCCTAAACTTTGGCTTCCTTAGAACTTCAGCTCTCTTTCTCACACCTTGCAAAGCACATCTCTGACCCTTATAGTTGCAAAAGACGTTTGAAAGCATGAGATTAGTATGAGATTAAAACTCATCAGGGAAAGGATACTTCCATGGTCCTCAAAGTCCATGATCAGTAAAAGCAGAATACATTAGGTAAGACACTGCTTTTCTTGGCATAAAACTCTATATCAGCACAGCCCAGGCTCTACTGAGTAACTCTATAGATGAAGGAGAGCTGGCCTCTACTGTATCTCTGGAGCTAAGACTGTCTTCTGCAAAAGACCCCAATTTCCTACGACTGTCTACACTAGTAGATTCCATTCCAGGTAACCTTTTACAGCCAGGTTTTAAATGAGAGTGGGAGGAAGGTGTGTCTGAACAAGTTGTCTAGGTACTATCCTGTCACTTCTGTACACCTTTAAGAACAATATCCCTCCATAGAATCAGGATAAGTACCTACCTCTATCATATTACAGTCTGTCAATAAACAGAGAGCAATATAGAATGGGGCCAAGGAAACCAGGATACCTGTCGTTTCAGGGGCTAGAAAGATGGCATTTCTTAAACAACAGAACCAGTGTGATCAGTGCAAATATCTCACAGTGAGTAGCAATGTGTGCACGCAAGAAACTGAGAGACGCAAGCAAAGTGCATTGACGAGAACAACGAAAACAGAAGCCCTTGTAACTTCTTTCTGCATTTTGCCCCACCTCAGAGAAGAAGAGAAAGGTATGGAAGTAGGCAAGACGCGAGGCAAAAGAGGCTTCAGTTCTACCACTGAAGTCTAGGTAGACAGTGCAGACAATTCCTATAAGTTAAAAACAGTCCATGTGCAAAATATACAGATGCTTTTCATTGAATGGGGCAGGTAAAGTGGAGCTGGACTGAAATAAAATGACCTAGGGCCTTAGTGCTCCCCAGGAACTGGAAGGAAAAGAAGCATAAGAAGGATCAAATATGTTTTAAAACTGGAAATCAGGATGGGGGTAAAGTTAGGATACTGCCCATGTGTATCCTCTGTCCCTGATGCTCACGCATCTTAGACTCCTGGTGGTAAATGCAAAAATCTGTGTTTTCTCCAGTGTAATTAACTGTCCCTGAATGCATTTTCTGCAGTGTTAGAGATTGCTGATTGATTGGAGGAGGGGGCAGAGTCTCTGGCTTTGCTAACTGAACTGAGCTGTTCATCTGAGATTTGGTAACACATCAATGACAATATATATTGATAGGGTTGGTTTTCCACCAGACCCTGAAGAGACTGGTAGAAATATGCAGAGTAGGAAAACATGCCATTGGTTTTCATGTTGGAGAGTAGCTGGGAAGAAGTCACACATGCAGAGAGCAACCAGCTATCAGGGAGGAGCACTGGCTCAGAAGCAAGTCTGTTTTGCAGTGGCCCATCTCCAAAGGCTCCAGAATATGGGATGACTGTATGGAAGTCTTTGCTTCAATGGGGCCATGGTACTTCTCAGGTACAGGCTTCTGCAGCGGAAACATGGTTGACTGTGAGTTTTTCCTTGGGGTTCCTTGCCTGGGAAAGACTCTGCTCTTGTGAAGATGAGGAAGACATGAGCCCATGCACTTTGACATGCTTTAGCCCCCGTTTTCCTAGTGGCCAAGGGCCCAGAGAAGTGGAGGTACGTCCCCAGCTACGACTGCCTTCACACTGTCTATACGAGCAGCCCTTCTCAAGAGGTAGGTCTCATCCACAGAGTGGGTGAGGCAGGCATCCTCTTCATCTGGATGTTACCCCCAGAGCCTGCTTCATGTTCTCATACACGACGTAGCTGATACTGACAGCAGGAATCACTTTCATGAAGTTGGGGGCGATGCCACGGTAGAGGCCAAACACCCCTTCCCGCGAGAGGATGTGCCTGAAGAGCCCCAGCATGGTGAGTTGAGGGGCACCCTCAATGGATGCTGTAGAGAAAGAGATAGAGAGGAGATCAGGGATGAAGAGGAGCAACCCAGCCCTGCCACATCACTGTGGCACACCTAAGTGCTCAACTGTTCCTGTCTCCTTTGTGGTGCAGCTACAAAGGGCATCCCAAGTTGGAAGCTGGATTGATTGACCTGGGCAACTACAACCAGAAATTGAATTAAGGGGCAGAGAGCAGTATACAATGAATTAAATGCCCAAGAGGAGCAGAAGGACAAAATCATGTGGAAAGGACCTTGGATACAAGAAGCCACAGTGGACTTTAAGTCAAAATGAAAGAGATATATTAATATACATATGACTCTTTTATTTTGATGCACAGTCTATCTGGGACATTTCCTCTCTTTTGTGGTTCTTTCTGCTGTGGTTTCTAGCATCTACCAAAACTTGGATGAAACCTTCCACTAGAGACAACGGGGGAATGTTATTCCCACCTGTGCTTCCTGAGTCATCTGTAGAGGTGTGGAGAACAGTCTTCCTGTAGGCCTCACAAATTCAAAGGTAGATGCTTCCAGTTATCCACAACTTGCCATCCATATCCTGGGTGATGGTCCCAGAGCTTTCCACCTCAGCTCTCCAGAATGGTCCATCGTCTGTTATAAAGGCTGTCTTGCAAGGCTTTAATGGTTGTGTAGAAGAAGAAATTTCAGCAAGTGATGCTTGCATGGCAAGCAATGCCATCTGAATTCTCCCTTCTGCAGAACCATTAAATGGAGAGGAGCCTGTCTACTTATTTCACATGGCAACCCCAGCAGAACTCACCAAAATGTTTACCTAACAAAGTAGGATTGTTTGGACATCTGAGACTCAGACTACTGCAACAACTTTTATGTAGGAGTAGCTGGTGTGGAAAGGCCTGGAAAAGGAGTGTGGCTGGATGGCGGTGAGAGAGAATACAGGGGAGGAAGGCACTATGCATGTTGGAAAGGGGATCTGGGAGGAATGGAGAGGAAATATTTTGGAAATATGGAAGTGCTGTGTTAATTCTACTTTAAATGTATAGGTTGTTTATAATGTTGTTGTTATATTTGTTATTGGCTCCAAATATTTTTGTAGTGTTATTGGGAAGGGCTGTCACAGTCCTTGTAAGAACATAGGAATGGCCCATACAGATTTCCAGTTCCTATTGTGAATCCCATGTGCAAAATATGAGTGTAATAGCACATTCATTCCTGTGCTCCCCACCCCTCCAGGGTGGCTGCCATCACTATGTCTTGAGGCAGTGATTTCCACTATTTAACTATGCACTGCGTGAAGAATTACTTCTTTTGGAATTTCTTGAACCTCTCATCCTTTAGCTTCTCTGGATGATTCCAAAGAGGGATACTTTTAAAATATATTTTATATATCCACATCCCATTCAGAATTCTATACATCTCTATCATGTTCCTCCTTACTTGTCTTTTTTCCTAAGCCAAAAAGCTCTCAAGTGTTGTCACATTTTTTCTGAGGAGAATTACTCTGACCTGTTTGTTAATTCTGATATCCTCTGAGGGGATCAGAGGACAGAGCTTGGCTAGGCATTCTGCCTCAGATCTGAGTGGATCATGTATATATGTGTATGACTGTTTGAAAGTCTCTAAAGCAATACAGGGGGAAAAAGCCTTGAAAACATAAAGCAATTGAGTAGCACCTTTGAGATTAACTGGGAAGAAAATATTTCTAGTACTAGCTTTCTTGAATGCAGTCCATCATATAAAGTGGACTGTATCCACAAAAGCTTATGCTAGAAATTTATTCTTCCCCGATAATTTCAAAGGTGCTTTCTTTATGTCTTTTAATGATAAAACAGATTAGCACACCTATCAATTTGAGTAGAAAAAAGCTTGTCTGTCTTTTATTTTGGACTCTGACACTAAGGGGTATGCCACTAAACAAGAACTACATCACAGGAAATGTGCTTTTCCTATAAAACAAGGCACACTGACCCATATATCTTACTTTGGCCAAAATCATCCCTCCTCCTACAAAGACTGGAAGTAATGTCTAGGATAGTCAGGGTTTATTTTTTATTATTTTTGTCACCAGGAGTGGGAAGTAGGAGTAAACCCACAGTGGCAACCCATGGCAGGTCAATAATATCTTCCCCTAAAACTCACTAAAGTGGCCCATCCCTGGTTTACACCTTCTTTTCTAGGTGAGTTGGAGAAAGAGAAGCATACATTTATGCTCGATTCTGATACTTATTCAAAGTGGAAGTGGTTGTGTTAACAGGCCTAGAAAGAACTCCTTCCAATTCCATAGGGTATCCAAGTTTCTTACACCTTACAGCCTCTCTCTTTTTTTATATCCTAAACACCTCCACTTGATGTCTTCTCTTCCATTGTTATACAGATCTCCTATTTAATGTGCCCTCCTGTAATGAGCCAACATGGTGTAGTGGTCTGAATGTTGGACTATGATTCTGGAGACCAGGGTTCAAATCCCAACTTAGCCATGGATACCCACTCAGTGACCTTGGGCAAGTCACATTCTCTCAGCCTCAGAGAATGACAATGGCAAACCTCCTCTGAAGAAAGTTGCCAAAAAACCCAAACCAAAACAAAAACTGTGATAGGTTTTCCTTAGGGTTGCCATAGTCAGAAATGCCTTGAAGACACATAGCAATAACTTGAAATTAGGCCCCAATCCATGCCCACAATGAGTGCTCTCCTTGAAGAGAAGATTGGATGCTGCTCTGGCCTCACCTTGTGCCTGCATCCGGGTCCGCACCAGGGCTAAGGGGTAGCTGGCAATCTGACCGCAGGTGCTGGAGATGGTGCCACAGCCCAAGAGCACCAGGACACCTGGATCAGCGGTGTTCTTGCTGTACTTCTGCAGCCAGGTGTTCTTCAGGGTCTGCAAGAGGGTGACATAGAAATCTGGGCACTGAGCAGAGAAGCAGGCAGGCATCACAGGGCATGAAAGAGGTGGGAAGGAAGCAGCTTTCTTGCTGAGTTCTGGACTCTGGTGTATGCTGACCATATATACTATTTTAAATGGGGCAGTACCATTTTTTTTCGTATTTCCAGACTACCCCATTGTTTTAATATAAACATCAATTTTGTCTCCTTTTCAAGAAAAATGCCCTGTTATGTTGTGAAAATGGTTTGAAAATCCCTGTTTAAAATTATGATTGTCAAAAAAAAAATAAACCAAAAACAAATTGTGTCATGGAGTATGAGAAGTTTTATGGTAAGGTGTTGAAAAACTGAAATTTGCTGCATTAAGATTACTTCATTGGAGAAATATTCATTTTATGATTGCGGTGAAATACAGTCCCCCTCTCCATCTACCCAGATTTTTGTATGTGTTCTGTCACTGAAGGATAATTGTTTGCTCAATATGTTTGTGTAATAAAACTTCTGTCATCGTCTTACTTTTTCATGAGTGTGAAATATTATGTAACCTTATCCTGTTTTTGCCATCCCATTTGTCTCAAGAAAATATCTCAGTGATACCTTTATTGGCCAACCAAAATGCACAATATACTTGTTGCAAGCTTTTGAAGCTCCATGGGCTTCTTTATCAGGCAATAGTGTGCATTTTGGTTGGCCAATAAAGGTATCACTGACAGATTTTTGTTTGAATTTGTTAAATGGCCAACACAGCTACCCCTGAATGTTTTCAAGAAAATATGGTCAGCCTAGAGCAAGGAAAGAAGCAAAGATTGTGGCCAGAGTGGACTTTGGAAAGGGCCCCAAAGGTAAGATGCTGCTAGGACTGGAATTGTCCTCTGATAAAATAGCAGGAAAGACTGGTCTCTCACACCGTTCATACCAACCCACACCACCAACCTCATAAAGAACCAACCTCATAAACTGCCAAGTCAATGCCAGCATAAGGGATGATGCCCAGCATGTTAGGCAGGTAGCCCTTGTAGAAGGCACGGATCCCTTCCTTTTGCAGGATCTTCCTGGCACAGTCAGCCAACCCTGAGTATTGGCCTGTCTTGCGGAGGGTCAGCCGTGTCTTCAGAACCTGGTGGGATGGGAAAAGCTGATCAGTTGATGAGGATAAAGACCCTTTCATCAATCACCACCTTCACAAAGTAAGACACAGGGCAGAAGAAAAGGGCCAGGCAATTTGTGGGCTTCTGGCTAATTTCATGTGCCCTTCAGCCTAAAGTTATGTGTCCTCAGGCAAATTTTATGTGGCTCGCTAGTAGATGTCTGGCAAGAATTATATTTCTTCTCCTGTCAATCCACTGCATAAGCAAGTAGTACAGGAGACAGAGAGGAAAATGGAGTGGCTCTAGCAGGAATGTGTTGGGTGCATAGGGAAGGGCCCCCAGTTTGTCACTGGTTTCTGTCCACAGTTGGCTTCAGCTTCAAACTACAGAGACTTACAAATCATTACTATTGTCCAAGAGCTTCCACAATGGCACTTTTGGGAGACCAAACTCAGAATCATTAAAAGAGTTTTGCCAGCACCTTCAAAAAACGGTAATTCCCAGGATGCTTTGAACAACGCCATGGCTTTTAAGCTGGGTCCATACATCCTCACTGCTGCAGTGGCTCCCACCAAGGATTTCAAACTCTTAACTTGTTATTGATCCCTCTTCCATCGATTGCTTGTCTTTCCAGTGACATCACTCCTTTTATAATCTGCATTGCCTGTGCCTATGTTTGTCCACCTGTCTGCTCCTTTCTTTCAACAACCAAAAGGTGGGTGTGCTAAGTGGTAATACTAATTCAAATGGAAGGGAATTAGACTGTCTCTCAAGCTCCTTACACCATACTTTGATTCCCATTAGACTGCATGGCTTCTTCCTATGGAATGCTAGGGTTTGTGGTTTGGTCAGAGGCACCAGAGGCAATCAGCTCCTGGGCCAGGCTAACACTCCTTAATGCCCTTCCTTCAACTGCCAATCCCAGGATTCCACAGGATATTGCCAAGTGGAATCATAGGCTGCATCCACACGGCAGAAATAATCCAGTTTGACACCATTTGAACTGCAATGGCTTAATACTATTAATAATAATTCTGGGAATTGTAGTTTGTTGTGGCACCAGAGCTCTCTGACAGAGAAGGCAAAATGTCTCACAAAACTACAGTTCCCAGAATTCCACAGGATTGAGCCATGGCAGTTAAAATGATGTCACACTGGATTATTTTTGCAGTGTGGATGCAGCCATAGCACTATAATTTTGCAGGGTGAAAGGGCCCTCAGATGGGAACACCAACTTTTCAAGTTCCCAGCCAGGGCAAAAGAGGAGTTCTGTGTATCCTTTCTGGTCTTTCCAGAGGTGGATGCTCAAACTCTTTGCTTCAATATTTTGCTATTACCCCAAAGTATCTGCCAGCTGAAATGATTGCTTCACTCCACCTAATGGCAGGGCCAGTGGCAAGATGAACCACTGGGTCCTTAAGCTGTGTAATAGCAAAGGAGGCAACTGATCTTACCTCCATGGGGTAGATTATGGTCTGTGCTGTGGCACCAGCTAGTGAGCCAGCAATAAATCTTTCCTGCACCCTCAGAGTTTCTTGTTGTCCACGAATTGCCCGCTTGATCTGCAATAAGAAACAAGGCTTTTGGTCTTGCAGAAAATGTATAGGAGCTCCTTCCTAAACCTGTGCAGAGTGAGTAAACGTAGTGAGTGTGAGCAGGAGAAGCTGCATTTTATTTCTGCACCAGAGGAATGAGCTTTTACTGCAGTGTGATGTCAGCAGATGCAGAGAGTTAGTTATGAAGGTGGAAAGCACTTACCACAGGGTTGGGGAGGAACCCTCTTTCCCCTTACACTGATAAACTACAACTCCTATCATGCACTGACCATACTGGCTAGGACTGAAGAGAACTGGAACTCAGCAGCACATGAAAGGTCACACACTCCCACATGCCTTAGCACTATTATCCACTGTAACAGTTTTGACAGGTCAGCACATTTGTGTTATTTACTTGCTTTCTGGGAATAACTAGGCAGGAATGTTTGGGGTAGTGGTTTGA